CATTCCCTGCATGGTGACTTTCATTTCCTGCCAGGTAAGGGGGTAAGGGGGTTTAGGGTGCTCCCCCCGCTCACTTTCCCTGCTCCCCCCGCTCACTTGCTCTGCTCCCCCACCCCAACTCCTCCCCTCCCCTTGCGCAGGTGCCAGAAAGATGCATGGATGTATGAACACAAAAGCAAAACAATGTACTAGGGCACATAAAAATCATGTGCCTTCTCATTCCGTCAAGGTGCCTTGCCGTTCCCTGCATGATGCCTTCTCATTCCTTGCATGAAGCCATTTTCCTCCCCTTTCCAGCAGGTGCCAGTGCAAGGCATAATGTTTTGAGGTGTCACACTCAACACCTCCCCTCTGTCCTCCCGTTTCCAGCAGGTGCCAGTGTAGCGCATGTTGATTGAAGAGGTCTCACTCACCCCGTCCCCTCTTTCCATCCCAATATTTCCTGTTTGTTTGTTTGTTTGTTTGTCTGTTTCAGTTTGTTTTGCTTGCTTGTTTGTTGTTCCTGTGTGCATTCTTTGCTCAAGGGGGGGGTGTAAGGGGGCATGGGGAACTGTGAGACGTCCAAGCCACCCTCTCCCCTCCCCTTTCTGCCAGCTGCCAGTGCAGCGCCTGCCCATTTGAGCTTGTCTCACCCACCCCCTCCCCTCTTATCCCACTTTACCCCTTCTGCCAGGTGCCTTCTCATGCCCTGCAAGGTGCCTTCGCATGTTGCACGGTGCCTTCACATGCCCTGCATGGTGCCTGTTCATGCCCTGGCTGGTGGATTGCATTCCCTGCATGGTGACTTTCATTTCCTGCCAGGTAAGGGGGTAAGGGGGTTTAGGGTGCTCCCCCCGCTCACTTGCCCTGCTCCCCCCGCTCACTTGCTCTGCTCCCCCACCCCAACTCCTCCCCTGCCCTTGCGCAGGTGCCAGTTTCTCCTGTCGCCAAGATGAAGATACTTTGCACAGGGAGCAGATGCGTTGCCAGCTGCTTGTGTGGCCGTCCCTCATCATCCATGCGCGGGACATGAGAGAGAACAAGGGAGAGAAACAGAAGCAGGAGGAGGGAGCGCAGCGCCATGCCGTACTGCATGCCCCACCAAACCAGCCGCATGTGCGTTGTGAGTCGCCTCAGAGCATGCACTGCACACCTTGCCATATCCCTCACACCTGCCATCCCACCATGCCCTCACACCTCCTGCCATCCCCTCACTTGCCCTGCTCCCACCGCTCACTTGCTCCGCTCCCCCTCTCCCCCACTCCAACTCCCCCCCTCCCCTTGCGCAGGTGCCAGCTTCCCTCCTGTCGCCAAGATGAAGACACTCGGCTTGCGATGTGCAGAGTGGTAGGAGGGATGAATCTGATCACGTTAAGAACATAAATGTATGTGCCTGTTGTTATACATGCAGGGGGAGGGGGGGGGGGGGGGAAGTGCATGTTTGGTTTGGGCCAGGTTTGGGATATCAAAGAGTGGCAGAAACGGAAACAGGGAGTAGATGTGTTGCCACCTGCTTGTGTTCAGCCATGCGCAGGGCAGGACATGAGGGAGAAGAAGAGAGAGAAACAGATGCACAAGGAGGGAGCGCATGTGCCATTTTCTCCTGTCGACAACATGAGGCTATTTGCTACGACGCGTAGAGTGATAGATGACTTATAGATTTGATGACATAGCGAATGTGAATGTATGTGCTTGTTATTATATACGCAGGCGGGCAGAGAAAGCGGGGAGGGGTGAGGGAAAAGGGAGGGGAGTGGGGAGCAGAAGCAGAACAGAAGAGGGAGTGGTGGATGAGCTCCTGGCTCTCTGTGCTGTGCGCCCCTCCCTGGTTGGCCATATCATGCCATGCCATGCCATGCCCGGGAGGGATATGATAGATAGGAAGCACAAAGAAGAAGCAGAAGCAGGAATGTGATATGACAGGGAGCAGATATGCATGGGCCATGCCCAGGGATTTCCAGGGCGGTTCGAGGGGGGCTGTGAGGGGCTGTGAGGAGAATTGGGGGGTAGGGGGGCCTTAGGGGGGCCTTGGGGGGGCTGTGGGGGGGTTTTTTCAGGATTTTAGGGGGGTTTCCCCCTCTCTTGTACCCCATCTCTGCTTATTAATCAATCACAAACAAGCTTTCTGCCATCACCCTTCCGATTACGCTCATGTTGTCGCCTTGCCGCCTGAGGGAGGTGGAGGGGAGTAAGGGGGGAAGGGAGAGGAGGGCAGAAGGGAGAGCAAGGGGGGGATGAGAGAGACGATATGCGCTGCTTGTTTTGATTTGCACACTGAAGGAGAGTGTGAGAAGGAGAGTGAGAGAAGGAGGGTGTGAGAAGGAGAGTGTGAGAAGGAGTGCCATACAGTGAAGTACTCGGATATCTTGGGCACTGCAAAGCAGAAGCGTTGCAAGGAATGTGATCCAGATGATCCAGGTGGTCCGGGGCCCTCCTCCTGAAATACGTATGTCAAGATGTTGACCAGAGTGGGAGCCAGGGCAGTGTATGTAAGGGGTGGTGTATGTAGGGGTGGGCAGGGCAGGTGCAAACGTAGGGGATAACGAGTGACAGAAATTGAAGGGAGAGTGAGAATTGAATGAAAGAGGGGGACAAAGAAGAAAAGTGGCACAAGTTCACTGCAGGTAGGCAGGATAAGTGACCAGCACAGGGGGGTGAAGTGACAAGGGCAGGCGGGTGAAGTGACAAGGGCAGGCGGGTGAAGTGACAAGGGCAGGCGGGTGAAGTGACAAGGGCAGGGGGGTGAAGTGATGAGACCTGCTTTCCAAGGTCAAAACAAGGGCCCATTGCTGACCTTCTAATACTCACCGACACGGCATGCCTCATGCGCCGACCTGTTGTGTGAAACCTGCCCCATCCTCACACCACACATCAAATCAAGCACTAGACCAACACCCCCATGCCCTCTCACACACCTCCTCTGCAGCAGGGCTACTGGCATCACTACCCACCAGCAGCACAAGCAGCATGTTCAGGAGTCATCTCAGACCACACCTCAACACCAGACCAACACCCTCATGACCTGTAACCTCACTCACTTCCCCTGCTGCACGGCTGCTGGCGTCACTCCCCACCACCAGCACCAGCACCAGCATCAGCAGCAGCAGCATATCCAACCACATGCGAGTGATTCGACTCAAAGCACACCTCGACCACTACACTGGCACGCCCATTGCCCTGTCACCTCACCCATCTGCTCTACAGCAGGGCTACTGGCGTCACGCCCCACCACCAGCACAAGGCTATCAGCAGCGAGTCCAGCACCTACACACCCCGTGCCCTGCTCTGCTGCACCACTCACCTGCTCTGCTGCACCACTCACCTGCTCTGCTGCACTACTCACCTGCTCTGCTGCACCACTCACCTGCTCTGCTGCACCACTCACCTGCTCTGCTGCACCACTCACCTGCTCTGCTGCACCACTCACCTGCTCTGCTGCACCACTCACCTGCTCTGCTTGCACCACAACCTGCCATCTGCTGCACCACTCACCTGCTCTGCTGCACCACTCACCTGCTCTGCTGCACCACTCACCTGCTCTGCTGCACCACTCACCTGCTCTGCTGCACCACTCACCTGCTCTGCTGCACCACTCACCTGCTCTGCTGCACCACTCACCTGCTCTGCTGCACCACTCACCTGCTCTGCTGCACCACTCACCTGCTCTGCTGCACCACTCACCTGCTCTGCTGCACCACTCACCTGCTCTGCTGCACCACTCACCTGCTCTGCTGCACCACTCACCTGCTCTGCTGCACCACTCACCTGCTCTGCCGCACCACTCACCTGCTCTGCTGCACCACTCACCTGCTCTGCCGCACCACTCACCTGCTCTGCTGCACCACTCACCTGCTCTGCTGCACCACTCACCTACCTACCCACTGTTCTTCCTCCCCTGTAGCCTCGCATACCTTCCTGGGCCCTGCAGCGCGCAGCATGTCACATGCACTGATGGCGTCTGCTTGAGTCCGGATGCTGCGAGGGAAATGCTGGAGAAATGACTTGGGAGAAATGCTGGAGAGATGACTTGGGAGTCATAAACGGCAGCACTTGACACTCGTGGTGCTGGGGAGTAGGGTAGATCAGGTACCTCGGAAGCTGAGAATGATAGGGCTTTAAGACCAACACGCTAGAGCTCTGAAGATATTTACATGAGGCCTGTGAGAAATTCCCCGAGCCTGTGGTGGCTGCTCCTGCTGGCCGTCTAGCAGATCTACCTCCCCCAGGTCCGCCTTCCCCGGATGGCGCACGCGCGGATGCGTACGGATAAGCGGCGGAGAGAAGTCGGGGGAGGGGAGTGCGGAGAGGGCGGCGGAAGGCGTGGGCGCGCTGGGGGACGCCGCCTGCTGCTTCGCCGCGGACTCGCGCATGCTGCGCAGGCGAGAGCGGCGCGCCTCTGCGTCCTCCATGGCTACTCGGCGGGAGACAAGTACGGTCCGCGTCACGCGCTGTGGACGGAGAGCGCGCGCAGCGCGGGGAGGGACTAGGGACGGAAGGAACGCGGCGATAGAGCGGAAAGCTGAGGGAAACTATCTAAGTAAGGGCGATACCCGCCTGGTCCGTTTTTACGCGATGTGGGCGGAGAGCGCGCGCAGTGGCTCTGCGTCCTCCATGATGCTTGACAAGAGAGCTCGGTACGGCCAACCTTGAAAATCACTTCGTCGTCAAATAGTATTATGCACAACAAATTCAATACAACACAGGACCAGTAGCATAACTTTCTCTTTCAAAATACCATTAAGCAACACCTTGTGGGTTCGATTCCCGCCTGGTCCTCTTCTTGGTGTTAATTGTGCTCAGGAAAGTGCCTCACCCGGCCAAAATCAGTTGAGCGTCCTCTTTTTACAGTACATTCAACTCAGCTCTCAGTTGTCAGCTGAGCATCAACTCCCTTATCCTGCAGCACCCCTACACTGTCACTGCTCACCAAGGCACTTTCACCATCTTGCAATCCATCCAAACCATCTACACCGCTTTCAACCGCTTGTGCACGTAACACAACAGGCGGGCTTATATAGTCATCACGGCTCTGAACGAGGCAGAGCTCCAGGCGCTTGGGAGTGGGGGGAGTGGGAGAGGACTCGGTGCCGTCCAGAGGTGGAGAGCGGTGCTGCAAGGTTCGTGCGAGCACAGCCTGTAGGGAGAAAGAATGGGAGGAGAGGAGCAATCAGGTCAGGAAGGTTGCAATGCCACGGGTTGCCAATGCCAACTCTGCTGATATAGCTTGCCTCAAAGCCATGGACAGCCCAGTGCCACTGCCAGCTCTGCTGTTGAAACAGAAAAGCTAGACAAACATTGAAAACACAGCAGAGCATCAACAAACACAAGCACGAGGCGCAACAGCAGCTGCTCACCTGTAGAGATGCCACTGCTAGATCCGCTGCTCTAGCCAAGTCGTGAGGATACTTCTGATGAAAGGAGGGAGAGAGGGAGGGAAGGAGGGAGGGAAAGAGGGAGAGAGGGAGGGAAGGAGGGAGGGAAAGAGGGAGAGAGGGAGGTAAGGAGGGAGGGAAAGAGGGAGAGAGGGGGGAAAGGAAAGTGTGTGAGGCAGAGAATGGAAGGAGAGGAGCTGAGAGAATGAGGAGCAGATTGAGTCAATGTAGGGAAGGAGGGAGGGAAAGAGGGAGAGAGGGAGGGAAGGAGGGAGGGAAAGAGGGAGAGAGGGGGGAAAGGAAAGTGTGTGAGGGAGAGAATGGAAGGAGAGGAGCTGAGAGAATGAGGAGCAGATTGAGTCAATGTAACCAGAAGAGTGAGATGTAACCAGCACTGTGAGATGTAACCAGCACTGTGAGATGTAACACTGTGAGATGTAACCAGCACTGTGAGATGTAACCAGCACTGTGAGATGTAACCAGCACTGTGAGATGTAACCAGCACTGTGAGATGTAACCAGCACTATGAGATGTAACCAGCACTGTGAGATGTAACCAGCACTGTGAGATGTAACCAGCACTGTGAGATGCAGCACCGTGCTGCAACTGCCCCACTCACATGTGACCATCCAAGCAGCAATGCTGTCATCAAATCTCCTGTTCCCTGCATATGGGATGGCATGGGGGATGGCATGTGGGTTCGAATGTAGGACTGAGACGCAATGAGATGCTTGCCATGCGGCAACGGATTACATGAGACCATCCAAGCAGCAATGCTGTCACTAAATCCCCTTTTCCCTGCATGTGTGGCGTTGAAGTGGGATGGCATGGGGGATGGTATGGGGGAAGGCATGGGGGATGGTATGGGGGATGGGATATGTAAGGCGTGTCACATGGTATGTAAAACGGCATGAGGTATGGCATTTGAAAGGGCATGTGAGTTGGCAGTTGGGAGTGGCGCGCACTTTGCTGCCTGACGTGGCGCACTCAGCTTAGTATTTTCAATAATGGGAGCGAGCGCTGTATGCAGGTGGGAGTAACGCGCGCTGCTCTCTGGGGTGGCGCGCACTACTCTCCGGTAGTGGGAAGCGCGGCTGCTGATGTGCGCGCAAGGACTCAAACAGATCTGATGGTGCGTAGAAGATTGGGCGATCATAGGCGGGTCCAGTGCAACCCGTCAACGGATCGGTTTGACCCGACCCGATTGACATATGAATCTACGGGTCGCAAGTCGACTTGACCGGGTCCGGTCGGCCTGTCCTGGACCCGACCCGACGACCCAACCTGTCAGGTCAAAATGCCCATGTCTGATGTGGAATGGCATGTGAGGGGGCATGTGAAATGGCATGACAAGAGGCATGGTAAGTGTAAGAGAAATTGCATAGCCATGTGCGATGTGCTGTTTCGAAGCTACAGGTGATCATGCATCTGGAACCCACCGGTGAGCAGGTGCGTGTAGAAGAGCAGCCCATTGGCCTCCACGCCCTCTATCAGCGCCCCCAGCTGCTCTCCATCCAGAATCTGCCCCTTCCACGTGGGGTACCCTGCATGGGATTGATGGGGCATGGAGCGGGCAGGCAAGCAGGGAACAGAGGGATGACAGACATGGGTTACCCTGCACACACGGGATGCATGAACCTCAAGGCGCTCGTGTCACAGAGTAGAGACAAGGGCCCCTCTTACCACTATATGCGCCAGTGTGGTTACCAACATTCACACCAGTGCAGTTGCCAACATTCGCACCAGTGTGGTTACCAACAGTCACACCAGTGTGGTTACCACCACCGGTGTGGTGACCACTATATGCACCAGTGCAGTTAACAACATGCACCAGTGCAGTTACCAACATGCACCAGTGCAGTTACCACCAACATGCACCGGTGCAGTTACCACCAACATGCACCGGTGCAGTTACCACCAACATGCACCGGTGCAGTTACCACCAACATGCACCGGTGCAGTTACCAACATGCACCAGTGGAGTTACCAACATGCACCGGTGCAGTTACCACCAACATGCACCGGTGACACAGCAGGGTGGGGAGGGCTTACCACTCTCACCAGTGTGGTTACCAGGTAACTAGCAGCATTGCACTAGTGTGGTTATTAGGTACCCAACACCATTGCGCCAGTTCAGTTACCAAGTAACCAACAGCATCGTACCAGTGTGGTTGGAGAGCTGCACGGAGTTGAGGGGGGCCACATCAAAGCCCAGCAGCTGCAGGGTGGGGAGTGGTTACCACTCTCGCCAATGTGCGGTTACCATGAAGCACCCATGTGGTTACCACTATGCACACCAACGCAGTTACCAACATTCTCGCCAGTGCGGTTGGAGAGCTGCACGGAGTTGAGGGGGGGCACATCGAAGCCCAGCAACGTGGGGAGGGCTTACCATTCTCACCAATATGGTTACCAGGTAACCAACCAACAGCATCGCACCAGTGTGGTTGGAGAGCTGCACGGAGTTGATTGGGTCCACATCGAAGCCCAGCAGTTGCAGGGGGAAGACCGCCGCCTTGTTGCCCACATACCCCTGGTGCATTCACGCATAAGCGGTGGGGGAGAAGTCGGGGGAGGGGAGTGCGGAGAGGGCGGCGGAAGGCGTGGGCGCGCCGGGGGACGCCGCCTGCTGCTTCGCCGCGGACTCGCGCATGCCACGCAGGCGAGAGCGGCGCGCCTGAGTGCACGAGCACGTGAGCGCACGCAAGCACGGCGCAAGTGCGCGTGAGCGCATGGAAAGCACGGTGCACGGGCGCGTGGGCGCACGGAAAGCAAAGCGCAGGATCGCGTGGGCGCACGGAAAGCAGGGTGCAGGAGCGCGTGAGCGCACAGAAAGGACGGCACACCTGCGTGTGGGCGCACGGAACGCACGGCGCAGGAGCGCGTGGGCGCACGTAAAGCAGGGCGCACGGGCGCGTGGGCCCGTGAGCGACTTACAGCAGGCTGTTGCTGTTGCGTTGCGCCATGGCGTTGATGCGGTTGCCGCACACACGCCCCATTGCACGATCACGTCACGCCTAGGGTTACACGGGCCCGATCGCACCGCGCTAAGGTGATAAGAGCGACTCGTGACAGCTGGAACGATGTGCGAGATACCTATCCGACGCTGCACTGCTAGGCTAGTCAGGTCAGGGTGTGCGGGGATAGCGAGGAGGAGCCTTATCTCTGCCCACGCATTCTAACTAGAAGCGTCACCATCTGAATCTAAACAAACAGCTAATTACGACCAACAGCTTAATACAATCCGAACGAACAGCTAATTAGAGTCCCACTCCCAAGGGGGAGTGTTCGATTTCTTCTGCTAGGTTTCAGCTTGACTCGATTAGCAAGGGTTCGAAGCGGTTGGAATGGGTGGTGTTCCATCTGGTAGGTGCTGTACTAAACAGTCAAGGGGGTGTTAGGTGGGATGTGATGGGATGGGGATTAGAGAAGCGACAAACTCTGCGTTGGGGGGTGGGAAGGGGGGGTGAAGAACTTGGTGCGTGCGACAGCGCGATATCGCAACTATCGCAAGCGCGCTGCGTCAATCGCTCGTTGCAACCTACACCGAAGGTTACAGCCGAGTCACTCGCTCGCTGCAACTTCACAACGACGGGAACAGTATAACATCCCCGCCAAGAGCTGCAATTGCGCCTCGATACAGAACTGTACCCATTTCGCCATTCAACACAAAGGCATAAAATGATGCCTAGCATTCGCTAGCGTTTCAGGTGTGTTGCAAATTTATCTTTGGGACTCAGGGAGAACAAAAGTTACTGTCTGGCCTGTAATCAGGTTACAAAGCACAATCAAAGTCGTTATTTTGGCCTAAAATAGGTCCACTATACAACGACTTTGATCGTCTTATTAGCATTCACCCTTTCCTTGTTGTGGTTATCTCGGGCATTCCTGCACCCCCTAAACCTCCTTAACAACGGAGGCTCAACCCCCCTTCTCTTCCTTGCACCTCCATCACTCCCTCTATGTGGCTCGCTGCCCTTCGTGTCTCTCTCTTTCTATCCCAACCCAATGGTGGAAGTGAAGCTTGTCTCGCTCAGCATCCAACCGATCGATTTGTTGGCGTAACCACGGCGCAGAATGGCAAAAATCGGTCACACTTGACGATCAGTCGAGCAAGAGCGATTGTCCTCGGCGAGATGACATCAACGGCTCTCTTTGCGCGGGCAAAGAAAAAGGTCGGTCGTACGAGTGCGTACGCGTTGGTGCATGTACAGTTATGTACATATGCGTCGCGTACGAGTGTGTACGGTAGGTAGACGCACTACGTGCATGAAGGCATACGTACGCATGCATACGTATGTCTACGCGCGTCTAGGTTAAATAGGTAGGTACCAGACATGCGAGTATTCATGCATATACGCATGCAGATGCGCACGCTCCTTAATATTCAGCTCATTATTCCAGAGCTAATTTATCATTGATTTGTTGACCTACATGCATAAGCTCCAGATTACACAAACATATTTGTCAACTTACATGTGTAGCTTGTAAATCAGCAAAATCGGTTCTGTTTACTGCCATGTGGAAAGCTGTAGTTTTGCAAGATACTGTTTTGCTGTTCTCGTTTTGGGCACAGCTGACGAGCGAAACCTATTCGCGCTGCGAATTTGTCACTGTAAATGCTGGCACATTCACTTTGGGTCGCGCTCGCTGTATCGGAGTGTCGGACTGCATATACGCAGGGCACCCAAACCGACTTTCCGACTTTGTCACTGCGCTGCCGACGTAGCACTGTGCAGAACGCTACTTCAGTACATCCACTTTGCACCACGAACCCACGTTCGTTCAGGGGGACCAAGCAAGCCAGAAAGTGCACGAAACGTGATGTGAGTGGGCTGGGCTCACAATCGCTCACCTAACTCCCACTCTCGTTTTTCAGACCTCGATTCTTATCATCCGCCACTCTATCTCAACTCAACATCCGAGCCTCTCTTCTAGATCGCCCTCCGCCATGGGGCATGGCATCACCATTTCGTAAGCCTTCTTTCTTAGTTGGAGTCACGCTATCGTAGTTTCGTTTTTCAGATCTCGTTTCAATCTCAAGCCATTCTACTCAAGAGCGCAGCCTCTCTTTTGGATCGCCGTCCGCCATGGGCCATGGCATTAGTATTTCGTAAGCCCGCTTTCTTACTCACGCTATCTTCAGTCTTGTTTCCCGTAATTTCGTTTTCTTTGTAGATTCCCTCTTCTTAGCTCCGTTTGTTCCGATTTCTGCTTGTCCTTGTTCCTGCTGACGTGTGCATGGTCATGGCAGGCACGCTGCAGCCAGCACAAGCTCGTCATCTGCCGTTCCAGGAGCCAGCAGCAATGCGGCATTCCACATCCAAAATCTGCCACCAAACATGGCGATTTCCGATTAGTTCCGCTTCGGGGCACCGATGCCACACTGCTGTCACGCCGATTGCCATGCCGCTGACACGCCAACGACAATGACGCCGCTGCTCATGGCGCTCTGGCGGCGCATGGCGCGGCCGTGGCGGACAGCAGAGGCGCATGGCGCGGCTCTGGCGGACAGCAGAGCCGGTGCCAGTGCAGCCTCCATGCGCCTCCAGGCGCTCAAATCACAACGCGTCGCCAGGTACAAGAAAAAGACTAAACACAACTGAAACATGAGAGCATGACAAAAAAAAAGAAGCATGTATATAAAAAACAATAAGATCCAATATAGATATTATTGGGAAAACAATTCGCCCTTTCCCCAAACCACTTATATCCTGCCTGATGCTTCGTCATCCCCTGCTAGGTGCCTTGAGACGATGAAAGGAGTGGAATTTTTCAATTGAAAGGAAAGAAACATCAAATTCTGTTTTCCCATATTATTATTACTTGCCCCATTCATTTCCCCACCGAACTTACCCTGCCCATTCTCTCTCCCCCCTCCTCTTACTCTGAACCCGAAACCCTACAACCAGGCTACCCCTTCCAGCATGAGCCACTGCAGCACGTGGTGTTGATGGCGTATGGGGTGGGTCGGCCACCCCATGGACGCCGGCTCAGCCCTCCACGCGGGCGGCTCAGCCCTCCACGCGGGCGGCTCAGCCCTCCACGCGGGCGGCTCAGCCCTCCACGCGGGCAGCTCAGCCCTCCACGCGGGCGGCTCAGCCCTCCACGCGCCGCTGTCGAGCACCTCGCCTCCTCGCCTCGCCGCCCCATGGTGAGAGAAGAACGGAAACAACGACTAAAGAAACAACCAGAACAAGAACTAAGAACAGAAACAAGAACATACAAGAACTAAACATAGTATCATTCATATGATACCCTCAACCCTTCTTGAGACATGTTACCCATCCCCTTGTCTCTCCCCTCTGTTTTGATTCATGTGACCCATCCCCTCCTCTCTCTCCTTTGTTTTTAGTCATGTAACCCACCCCCTCAACTCCCCTCCCCTTCCCTCCCTCCCCCTGTTTCAGCAGCTGCCAGAGCAGCGCGTGGTGTGACGGATGGTGCAGCACGGAGTGGGGGTGCAGGGCATAATTTTGTGAGGTGTTTCACTCACCCCCTCCCCTCTGTCCTCCCCTTTCCAGCAGGTGCCAGTGCTGCGCATGTTGTTTTGCGGTGTGTCACACACCTCCTCCTCTCTGTCCTCCCCTTTCCAGCAGGTGCCAGTGCTGCGCATGTTGTTTTGCGGTGTGTCACACACCTCCTCCTCTCTGTCCTCCCCTTTCCAGCAGGTGCCAGTGCTGCGCATGTTGTTTTGCGGTGTGTCACACACCTCCTCCTCTCTGTCCTCCCCTTTCCAGCAGGTGCCAGTGCTGCGCATGCTGAGGTGTGTCACTCACCCCCTCGTCTCATACCTCCCCTTTCCAGCAGGTGGGAGTGCAGGGCATAATGTTTCGAGGTGTCTCACTCACCCCCTCCCCTCTGTCCTCCCCTTTCCAGAAGGTGGCAGTGCAGGGCGCATAATGTTTTGAGATGTGTCACTCATCCCCTCCTCTCCTTCCTCCCCATATTTCCAGTTTGTTTGTTTTAGTTTGATTGCTTGCATGTTCTTGTTCATGTGTGCATTCTTTGCTTAAGGGGCGGTAAGGGGGCATGGGGAACGTTGAGACATCCAGGCCACCCTCTCCCCTCCCCTTTCTGCCAGGTACCAGTGCAGCGCTTGCCTATTTGAGCATGTCTCACCCACCCCCTCCCCTCTTTCCCCACTTCCCCCCTTCTGCCAGGTGCCTTCCCATGCCCTGCATGGTGCCTTCTCATGCCCTGCCCGGTAAATTCTCATGCCCTGCATGGTGCCTTGGCATGCCCTGCCAGGTGCATTCGCATTCCCTCATGGTGCCTTCTCATTTCCTGCCAGGTAAGAGGGTCAGGGGGTTTAGGGTGCTCCCCCCGCTCACTTGCCCTGCTCCCCCCGCTCACTTGCTCTGCTCCCCCACCCCAACTCCTCCCCTCCCCTTGTGCAGGTGCCAGAAAGATGCATGACTGTATGAACACAAAAGCAAAACAATGTACTAGGGCACATAAAAATCATATGCCTTCTCATTCCCTCAAGGTGCCTTGCCGTTCCCTGCATGATGCCTTCTCATTCCTTGCATGATGCCATTT